TTAGACAGGTGCTTGTCTTATACAGACAGGTGGTTGTCTTATACAGACAGGTGGTTGTCTTAGACAGGGGGTTGTCTTAAACAGTTAAGACAGGAGGATGTCTTAGACAGGTGGATGTTATAGACAGGGGGGTGTCTTAGACAGGTAAGACAGGTGTTGTCTTAGACAGGTAAGAAAGGTGTTGTCTTAGACAGGTGGATGTCTTACACAGGTGGTTGTCTTAAACAGTTAAGACAGGAGGCTGTCTTAGACAGGTGGTTGTCATAGACAGTTAAGACAGGAGGATGTCTTAGACAGGTGGATGTCATAGACAGGGGGTTGTCATGGACAGTTAAGACAGGTGATTGTCTTAGACAGGTGGATTTCTTAGACAGAGTCGGTATCTTTTTTCTGTTTGCTTGTTTTAGTAAAGAGTTTAACAGCGCTCGCAACTGCATAAGGTCATATGATCGCCAGAAGATTAGAGGTGTTACAAGAGAATAACAAACATAAAAAAAGAAGAAGGGGAGATAAGGATGATAGATTTTTCATAGGAGAGAAGAAGCAAACCACACCAGAGCACCCGCCAACCACCCACGTTTTGGTTTTTATTTAGAACACGAACCCTTTGGGCAAGGATTATGTTAAAATTTGGACATAGTTATCCGTTATTTCATCCCATATGTCACAGAAAACTGCAAACAAAGCGTCTGTTTGTTTGTTTTAGTAAGAGTTTTACGGTACTTGCAACACTATATAAGGTCCTATAAGTGCCGAAGATTAGAGGTGTTGCAAGAGGGTAACGAACACAAGAAAAGAAGGATCGAGAGATTTAAGGACAATAGATGTTTGACAGGAAAGAAGGAGCAAACCACACCAGAGCACCCGCCAACCAACACAACAACTCGTCTGAACTCGGAGCGAAATCGTGTTTCTTCAGTTGCTGTGTCATGGGCAGTGGCGGCGGGTGAACCTAGCTTTGGGTGGGGCTTAGGTTTCTTCCACTTCTTTACCACCAAAAAGCAAGCAATAAGAATAAAACAGTGATGATTTTTCTTTACTCACGGCGAGCCACGCCATTTTGAGAACCATTCAAACGGGAAGAGTCACCTTTGTCTTCCATATCTTTGTTCTACGTTAAATTCTTCTTCACCTCCAAATTTCTCCAATTACTTTTTATTTGATGAAAAAGTTGCCTCAAAAGTGGTTTGATGTAATTAATAACTGTTAAATCTCAGCG